TGATTTAAGCTTAACTTAATTAAATATATTGTAATTTCATTACATAGGATGGGGGATACAATGCTGTCGCGAAGAAGAGTAATTCTCGAGCAACAGCAACGGCGGTTCATGATGATCAGGGAGGCAGTATTGGAGATATCGATGATGTTGATGACGATGATAACGATGGTGTAAAGCCGAACGGGTTGGAAAGAACAAAAAATGCGCGGAACGAAATTCCAAAAAAGTAACAGTTTCCCACCAATACAACCATGTAGTTGAATTTTCTCGATTAATTTTATTTCTCAAGGTCATCAGAGAAGGTTTTTTTTTTTGCTGTACAGCTCCCTAGTTGAAAATATTTAGAGAACGAAGCGCATCGCCACCACCAATTCCACGACAAGCACGCTCACTACGCCTAAGCCGATCGTCAATAGTAATTCCAGAAAAAAATGACCCCTCCAAAGTCCGTGTATATCGATGTAGTGCTTTTGCAAGAGGACGAAAAAGCACCTGCTATTATCGCTGCTCAAAATGCGACTCGATTGCAGCCAGCAAACTTAAAAATGAAGGCGAGTTTGTTTTTTTTTTCGTTTTTTTTTTTTGCATTCTTATTGCAAGTGGAAAGGCAGCATTTCGTTGAAATCGTAGTGCGCTTTCATTTACGCAAAAGTAAGTAGGGATTTTTATTTTCATGTGCTCGGATACGATAACTTAATGGACCGAAACATTTCTTACCGTTGTAACAATCTCACAAATTTTCTAATTTTCATTTCTCGCCTTTTTCTTTTCCCTTTTTTCCAGTTTTTTCCCCCTTATTCCTTCCCATTATAACTTTCTATTGCTGTAAGAGAATTAGCATGTTTGCTCATGTTTTTCGAAATTTTCAAGGCGACAAACCAAAGTTAAGATGAGCAGGTCTTGGTATAATGGAAAACCCAGGACTGATAGAAAGCGGAATTACTCGAATTTTAAATTTATCGAATAATTCAAGACTGATAGACTGAAATGAGGGCAGCTGCTTCTTGTATTGCTACCACATCCATGATTGCAGTTTTTTTTTTAATATTCAAGGACAAAGAAGGCATTTCATTACAAATATTTTCTTAGCCCCCTTTCCCCATGTTACTTCGCTTTTTCTTCGTTTCCTTCCCTTCATATTTCCTCTTCAGCCTTTAATCTAAACGTACCAAATTTTTGGTTAACTTTTTCCTCGAACGGTTTTAAGCAGACAGTCAAAATTAGGTCTCTTTTCTTTTCTGATCTATAATTTGGAAAAATCAGGTCTCATTTGCTTTGTTTTGATCTAAATCTCGAAAAGAGAAAATTAGGGCTTCGAGGAGAAAATTCATAGGCTTCCAGAGCGCTGCAACTAAGTGACAGATCGGGTGCAAAATTAGTACAAGGGAGCGTTTGGAGCAAAGAACGCTTTTTTCTCTCAGAATTTTTATGCGCCGCTGATGATCTTCAAAAAATCGTTCCATGCCAAGCGATTGATTTTGAAGCTGAATTTTTTTATGATTTAGGCGCCAATGGCGAAAATACAAGACGTTATTTTGCACACATAAAAATGATAGGTGGACAGATAATTGGCAATGCATATCCGGAACATTTGCCGGAATGCAAACCCGTCCCAAAGCAGGTGCAACAGCTTCAGGAAATCGACCGTGCATGCCGAGCAAGGATCCAATCGGGCAGTATGACACCGGAAGCTGCCAGGAAACTGGTTAGCTCTATTTTTATGCATTAATTATTGAACATCGCTCAAGAAAAATAATTGGCCAACGCATGGGCTATGCGTGCGAAGATGCGTTTTTTGCATAGTTTTCCGCAGTTTTTGCCCATACCGGCAGCGGTTTTTCCGGGAAATGCTTCTAGCTAAACAAATTAAGACTGACCACGCATATACGGGGGGCTGGGTTTGAGGTGGGGAAGAACCCCTCAAAATTTCAGCTTTTCAGCGTTTCTGGTTCCCGAGTTAGCAGTTTGCCCGTAAAAAAATTTGGCGGGCCCGTACGTAGTACCACGCAAATAAGACCGCCCATTTTGGGGATGGTGGCCCGTACAACTACATAGATTAAGTTCTCAAAGTTTCAGTCCTGTAGCTTTTTTAGAGTCTCGAGATGAAAAATTGGCACAGACGAACGCACAGACACACACACACACAGACAATCCCTCGTCAGTATGCGTTTTCTGTATTGCATAGATGCAAAAAAACGCATAAAAACGAAGTATGACAGAGTCACGGTGATTTTTCGTGTTGAGCTGTGCTTTGGAGTCTTGTTGGCTGGCCCGGTGCTCCGGGAATAGTTGGCTGGGTCTTCGGTTCCTTGACGATAGTTCGGGCTAGTGGGTCCGTGTCCTTCGTTGGTCATCGGGGCCGCCTGGACAATAAATACACCACAACACAACACTTCTCTAATGCAGAAACAGCGACTTTATATAGGCAGCTTTACGCTGTCATACATATCCTACCTAGGAGGGAGTCATGATGCAACATTTGAACAACCGGAAGCTACGTGACCTGAAAAAAGACTAATTTTGCGCCGGTGTTTTTAAAGCAAAGTCCAAAAACGTACGATTTTGGCTTTACGTAAATCAGGCATCAACAAAAGGGATTTCATTTTTGTTGGTTATTGGTCAGTATTTGTGAAATATACTGAGATGCCTGCATCGTTGGTTGTATTTCAAAATTTAGGTCTCCGGTTGTGCAACTGTCAACTTTTTGTGCGACTGTCAACTTTTCCATTTTTTTGACCAGTGGTTCATCAGCAATTATTCAGCGATTCTTATGTCCTCTTCTTCCTCTGAAGGGATTACCAACTCAGCGATTCTTCTGACAAAACTGTTTCGCAGGCCTGTTAAAGTCCCGTTAGATCTGTGTGTATGTGTATGTGTGTGTATGTGTGCGTGTGTGTGTCCGTGTATGTGTTTGTGTGTGTGTGTGTGTGTGTGTGTGTGTGTGT